TTTTTAAAAATTGAGTTTTGGTACATGTTAAGCGAACTAGGACTGTTAGAGCTAAAAGAGTCCTTAGAGCTCATTTTATTCATATGCTGCATTTTACACAAGAGGAAAATGAGGCTCACAGGGGTTAAGTGGCTTGCTCCAAGGTCATATGGCAAGGTAGTTGTTGTTCAGTCTGTCCAATTCTTTGTGACCCCATTTGGGGCTTTCTTGACAAAGATACTGGAGTGGTTTGCCATTTCCTTCTCCAGATACTTTTACAATTGAGGAAACTGAGGCAAACAGGGTTAAGTGACTTACCCAGGGTCACACAGCTAGTAAATGTCTGAGGCTAGATTTAAACTCAGGAAGATGAGTCTTCCTTACTCCAGGCCTGGCACTCTATCCACTAGGCCACCTGGCTGTCCAAGGGAGGAGTAGCCGAGCCCAAACTACAATCTGAATGTTCTGAATCCTAGCCAAGTGCCTTATGCCTATTGAAAAGTAATGCCCAACAGACATCCAACTTAGCCTATTTTAGTGAACAGAAAAATGGAGGTTTCTAATGAATACCTTAAACCACATTAAAAAGTTAGCAATCATTGGACCAGAAAAATTGTATTTTATGAGCTAATACAGTAGTTTAAACATTTCCACAATGATTTTATTTTCTAGTAGCAATTTACCCTGCAATCCCTTTCTTTCACTCATTCAACAAACATTTCTCAGACACTATATGCAAGGTGGGGTCTAAGACTATGTACCTGGTACAGGTGATAAATTCTCTTACTCAGAGTTTTAATTGCAGCCCAGCCTGGACCTAGTTATCAAGAACATAGAACAGATTATATTGACTTGATTGAAGAAAAAGAAAAAAACAAAAAAATAACTTCCTCACAATCACAGCTCTCCAAAAGTGAAATGGGCTGCCCCTGGAGATAGTGGGTTCCCCACGACTACAAGCAAAAGCTGGGTGACTACTAGGCAGAGAATGTATTATAGATAGAGGGCATTTTTGTTCAGGAACTTTTATAAACTGTTAGTAGAACCCAAACCCATAAAGCTTTGCTGTATATAAGATGTAGTGGTGTGCTGGAGAATGTTTAACAACTGGCTTGCTGGAGAAAAATGGACATGTGACACACTTTTAAGTTTAATCTGCATTATTAATATTTTCTCCATTATTTTCTTAATAATAATGGTGGAGGAGGAAGAGGAGGAGGAGAAGAAGAAGAAGATGAAGAAGATGATGATGATGAGGTGGTGACAGCATATAGTACTGGGGTAGGTGCTTTACAAATTTTATCTCATTTTCTTCTTGCAACAAACCATGGAGGGTAAGTGCTAGTATTATGCCCATTTTACATTGAAGAAACTGAGGCAAACAGAGGTTAAGTGACTTTCTCAAAGACACGCAGTTAGTAAGTGGCTGAGGCCATATTTGAACTCACATCTTCTTGATTCTGGGCCCACATCTCTATCCACTGTGCTACATAATCAACAAAACGATAAATCAACCTCTGATTTGTAGCGTTTGCTGATTTCTGAAACATAAATGCTTATGCTGAAAATTTAACAATTGGCTCTGAGCCCACACAATTTGGCTGTAGCACACACTTGAATTTAGATGCCACTCTAGTAGTAGGAAAAAGAATTAATCTGACTTCCAAAGGGGAAAGTATAAAAAAGAGTTAATGTGACTTCTATTTGGCACTAGGAAACTCTGGGTTAAGATAAGAAAGAAGCCACAGCCTCTTTCCATTAAGAGAATCTATATATTTAATTACCTTAATTTCTCAATTCTTTAAATTGTCTTATTGTATGTTATTTTATGTAGTCATGTCCTACAGGGGTATTGGTTGACAGACAGGAGGAGCTAGAAACTATGGGAATACTTATCACACTTGTAGTGTAGAAGTCAACCAGGGATAGAGGTCACCCTCTATCCCTGAATACTGTGATTAACAATTCCAGTTTGATACCGACTTCCCTCACAGGTCTATCCTCCAGAAGTTGCACTCACTTGCTGCCACTTACTGACATAAGCGCTTCCCCTGACCTGCTGCTTAAGCAGCTGCTGATAGAAAGAGATTCCCCACCCCTTCCCCCAGTCCCTCTTCCTTTTCCCTTTGCTACTCATTAGCCCATTAACAGATGCTTAAAAGCAGCAGGCTGGGGGAAATTCTGCTGCCTATCAAGTGTAGCTGCTGTGAGTCTGGGCAAGGAGAAATCAGCAGCCAATATCCCTTGTGTATAAATCAACCGAAATGGTGATTTAAAAATACACACACACAAACAAACAACAACAACAACAACATAACGACCCTTACTAGATTTTTTTGAATACCAAAATCCATGGTATCTCACTCCCTCTTACAAGAATCTTGCCACAGAACGGACCAAGTAATAAGAGAATGAATTTCCTCTTTGGACCTGCAGAGGAGTAAGGGTTCTCCCTGTGAAAATATTCCCAAATATGTTCTAAAACCAAGAATGTGATTCCTAAGTTGACACCTGACCAAAAACACAAAAAGCCTCAATTTAGCTACAACACAATGAAGAAAAATGGCAAAGTGTCACAACTTCTTGTAGAACTCAAAGGCTAGAAGAGACCTAGTCAGGGAGGGCTGAAGAAGTGGCAATGTGATTTTAGGAATCTTAGGGAGGGTACTTAACTCCCAGAAACATCCCCCCCACACCTGAGTACCTGCAGGTCCTCAGAGCTCCTTTAAAAGAGGTCAAAGCCTTTCCTAAAATGCAAACTGCCTGAGGACAAATGCATGGGAGAGTAAATTCATGCTCTGGTATAAATATCAGACCCTTTCCAGAGCATATTTCAATGGGATGGAAGGCTTGGTGTAAGGGTCAGATTCTTTCAGGCTAGAGATGGAGGCTGCATCCCTCACTCTGCCTACCCTATTGCCCTGGCACATTGTATTAACTCAGGACATATCCCTGGAGTGACTGCAAATCCCATTACCTTCTTTGGTGATCTATTCCGTTGTCTAATGAAACCCAGATCACTAGAATGATAGTATCATGGATGGAGAGCTGGGAGAGACATTAGAGATCATCTAGTTCAACCTCCCCACTTTACAGATGAAGAATCTTGAGGCCCCAAGAGGCTAAGTGACTTACTCAAGGTCACACAGGTAATAAATAAGTTGCAGACCCAAAATATGAATTCAGATCCCATGACTTCAAGTTCAGTGTTCTTCCTACTGCACCAGCTGCATAAACTATTGGAGCTGAAAAGGGACCCTTAGAAATCATCACTAGTTCAACTCCCTCTTTTGACTCCAAAGAAAAGTTGGGACCTGGAAGGGTAAAGTCACTTAGCCAATGACTCTGGGCCCGAGCCAGAACTGCAAATCAAGTCTCTTGATTCTTAGCCAAGAGCTATTTCAACTCTACCTTGCTGCTCATCTTAGATCTAACCTCTCTGTGTCTAACCAAAATTCTTCACTCTGCATCTTAGGCACATTTTCTTTCATTTTGTCTTCAGTAAGGAGGAACAGATGGTTATAGCTTTTCCTACACCATACGATAAAGAGTTCAGAAAGGTTGGACGCTTGGCTGCCCCTTTTTCTCAGACTTCTTACACGGGCATGGCTCGATATTTAGTTGGGGAGAGAAGAGGGAGGGGGGAATGGAAATGAGCCAAAAGACACTAAACCATATATCTCTATTCCCTTCCCTGCCAATGCAAGCTAAAGGAACGCTCCCCATTCTAGAGGTTCCCTGCACCTAGTGGGGATAAATGTTTGTTGAATTTAAGAAAAAGTTAGAGTAGCAAGCTTAAATGACAAGCGGGGAGGTTGCATTAAGAAAGTCACTTGCAAATATATGTGAATGGAAATTGACTGCTTGGGAGGGTGAAGCTTGTGAGCGCATTTGAAGAGGCACATGATGGGGTGAGAGGCAGCAGCCTGATAAATGCTCCAATTCATGAACAAATTCAAGACAAACTGCCTGGGTCCCAAGAACATTTCTGAGCAGCACCGCTAAATCCACTTCTTGCCTTCCAGAGACCCGAAAACCCTTACCTCTTTCTACATTCCCCTTACATCTCCTCTCTCCCCACCTCCTAAGGGGATCTTGTGACAAACCCCAGGCTACCTAACACCTTTTCTCCCTGGGATCGTAGATGAAAGAACAATAGCAAAAGCTGTCTCGGGTTCTGGTTCCTTGTAAGAATAAGGCGCAATGAATGCAAGATGCTGGTGGATAGATGCTGCATTGGACCGAGTTTTCGTGCAAAAAGAACCACTCAGATTTTGTCCTCACAGTCCCTTTCGGGGAGAATGAAGGACTCAGTCGGAGAATGAGGAATTACAGCAAGGTTACCTCTCTCTGGGCTCTATCACACACACAGCCTTTGCTCTCTGTTGTGAGACCCACTACAGCAGACCCCATTTTCCCGGTGACACAAGGAAAAACCGTGTATATTTGGAGTGGGAGTGGGAGCTATTAAATTAACCCTTTCCTGGAGGAAAAGAGGAGGATGAAGACAAGAAAACTAAGACAGAGCCTATTTAACCGAGGGACAAAATCGGGAAATAGCTCTATCCGTTACCCCCACGCAACCTTAAGAACCTTATGTGACCCTCTGAGAACCCGACTTTCCTCCTCCCCGATCCAGTCCGCTAATCTCACACACACACACACACACACACACACACACACACACACACACACACACACACACACACACTCATAAAGAGCAACCATTCCATTCAAATCTCCGAATCTCATTCTGGGCAAGACCCCGAGTCCAGGCTGCCCATAAAGGGATCGGAGCTGCCGTGCCCAAGAGGCATCCCTCTCTCCGTGGGACCGACGGAGAACTTCCTCGGGGGGGGGCGGGGATCTGGCTGGGGGAAACTGGGGCTGGCAAGGCGAAGGGTAGCTAGCGTTTCTTTCTTCTGCGGGGTCAGGGACAACGCGGGGATCCTGCCCTGAACTCCCGAGGAAGCAGCAACTGCAGAGAAGAAAGAAAGCGAGCGCAGGGAAAAGCCACTCACCCGGAGAGCCCCCGATCTCTGAGCAGGTTCGCTCCCGCAGGAGAGCTAGCGAGCCGGCGGCGGCGGCGGCGGCGCCTTTGTCTGCGCCTCTGCCTCTCCTGCTGCCGCTCGCCCAGCCTCCGCCGCTGACCCTCCGAGGCGCCCGATCTCTCGGGCGAGCCCCGGAGCTTGGAGCGGTGCTTAAACAGCTGGAGCTCGCTCCGTCGGTGCGGGAACCAGCCTTCCCCTTCTGCTTCTCTCTCTCTCCTCCTCCTTCTTTTTCTCCTCCTTCTCCTGCTTCTCCTACTCCTCCTCCTCCTCCTCCTCCTCCTCCCCCTTGCGCCGGGCCCGTTCTCCTCCCGGCTCCGCCCCGGGCTCGGGCCCCGCCTCAGCCGCCGCCGTCAGTCACCCGGCCGGGGGTGGGGGGGAGAGGGGCCCACCTGCTGCAGCTGTGACCGCGCTGCGCTGCGGGGTGCACGGAAGGGAAGCACAGCTGGACCAGGAGGCGGCGGCAGCGCTGGGCCCTGGGACTGCCTCTGCGCCGCCGGCTGCGAAGGCGCTCCCAGGAGGCTCCCGGGGCCGGCTGGCTCAAGGGCCCAGGACCAAAGCAGGAGCAGATGGAGCAGACCCTGCTCCCTCCTGCGCCCCCTCTCCAGCCCCTCGCCCTGGGATGTCAGGAGGGATACTAGTCTCTTCTGGATTTGGATTATGCCCACTTTCCCTTCCAACTCTGTGACCTTCCACTATTCCTGAGGAAATTGGCCGCTGGGACAGCGGTCTGCACACTTACAGTGATCACCCTCCCCGCTCCCAGACGCGCCTTGCCCAGCTTTCTCCTCCCGCCCCACCGTCTACCCCCAGATCTGGGGCCCCCGAGAGGGGAGGAGGAGCGGTAAGTGGGAACCAGGTCCCCTCCCTGCAGTAGAGGCTTCGAATCAATTGAACAAACGATTTCTGTAGACAGAAAACTCACTGCGCTAGGAGAAACACAAAGTTGGGACAAGACGCTGAGTCTGCCCTCACGACACTTGCACAGGAGCGGAGGAACGTGACAAGTACACAAATCCCTAGAGGAGTGAATACAGAAAATCATAGCAGCTTAGATTAGAGCTGGAAGCGACCTTAGGGGCTATAGAGTCCAACCCCGTTATGGAGCTGTTCTGAATTCGGATTATGTCTCGCTCTGTCTTCCGACCCTTTGACCATCCTCCATCATTCCCGTGTAAATCGGCTTCTCAGAGAGCTCTCTGCACGCTTACAACGATCACTGTCAGGTGAATTTTGTTTCTTTTTTGTTGTTAAAGATGAAGAAACTGAAGCTCAAAAAAGGGGATAAGCGACTTGTTCAGGGTCACACAGCTAGTATCTATCTGAGGCAGGATTGAACTCAAGTCTTCCTGACTCCAACTCCAGCGCTCATCTGCTGTGCCAGGAAGGTGGATTGTTACCGCCTCTGGGTTCAGGAAGCAGGTAGCGCTAGCTTTAGAGCTTGGTCTTTAAAGACCAGATAGGAAGATAGGAGGTGGGAAGGATGCAAGATGGAGGCACTGGGAACATAGTGCGGGTTGTGGAGGAACAGAGATTAAATAGTCCAACTTGGCTGGACAGCTTTCAGAGAGAAATGATAGGAGATCAAACTGGGAAAGGTAGAGCCGTACCAGATTGTGGAGAGCCTTGAATGACAAGCTAGAGTGGAGATTGAACTTGAAGCTTTTGGAGGGAGAGGGGGATGTGACGTGATCAGATCTGAAGAAAAGGAAGATTGACCTGGCAGCTGGAGAAATTCTGGGTTGGGGAGAGTGGAGACAGAGGATTGCTATTGTATTGGCTGCCATTGTAAATGTCCAGGTAGGTGATAAGAAGGCCTTGTACTATACTAGGAAGTGACAATTGCACTGGAGAAAGGAGGGATGGATGAGAGATGTTTCAGAGTTAAAATTGAAATGACTTGGTGTTTGATTAGTCTTAAGAGTTGAGGGAAAGGGAAGAGTCAAATATAAACACCGGAGTTTTAAATATAGTAGACGGCATAGAATAGTAATTCCTCTGACAGAAATATTGAAGTCAGAAGGGGGAAGGGAAGGAAAGGGTAGGGAATAAGCACTTATATAGCACCTACTGTGTACCACACACTGGGAATTAGGTGCCAGATTTGAACTCAGATCTTACTGACTTCATCTGCTACTTAGTGCTTTGGAGCTAGATAATAATAATAATAATAATAATAGCTAACATTTATATGGCACTTACTATGTGGTAGGCACTGTGCTAAGCTTGTTATCTCATGTGATCCTGACAACAACCCTGAGGTAGATGCTAGTATTATTCCCATTTTACAGACAGGGAAACTGAGGCAAATAGGGTTAAGTGAATTGCCTACGGTCACACAGCTAGCAAGTGTCAGATGCCAGCTTTGAACTAAGGTTTTCCTGATTCCAGGCTCAGTGCTCTAGCCACTGCACCACCTACTTAGAGCTATGAAACTACATGACTTCCAACTCCAGATAAACAGTCCTAACATGTCTGGCTTAAATGCTAGACCCTCATTTCGATGTCCTATCACCTTCTCAAACTCATCTTGTCTTTGTCCTATATAAAAATTATTATTATATCCTCCTCATGTCCACCCCAACCCCAATCTGGCTCCAACCTACCTGTTCAGATTTACTTTATATTACTCCCTTTTAAGTATTCTACAGTCCAGCCAATTTGGAATGCTTTTCATCCATCGTTATAGTCCTGCCCCCTCACAGCTTTACCTTTGATTAAATCTGGAATGGACTCCTCTCTCTCCCATCTTCATTTTCCACTCTCTCCTCCCTTCCTTCAGAGTCCAACTCAGATGCCACCTCTTCTGAAACTTCCCTGACTCTTTCGGGTGACAGTGATCTCTCCTCCCTCAAATATCTAAAAATACTTTGCTCAATCTTCCCTTTTGCCTTTATTTCATTCTCCTCAGTGTAGAGACTTTTTACCATATGCTTTTCTTTCTTCCATCCCCCATAGGGTAGCTAGGATCTGTGTCAAATTGATCTATGAATACCTAGCATCTAGCACAATGAATTACATCTTATAGTTACTTAATAAATGCTTGGTGAACTGTTGGATTTATCAGTAATAATAATAACTCACATTTCTATAGCACTTTAAGACTTATTTTAATGCTTATAACAGCCATGTGCACTAGATAATGAAATAATTTTATTAAAGATGAGAAAACTGAAGCGCAGAGGCATAAGTTGATAATAAACATTAGATTCAAACTCACATCTCCTCACTCCCAAACGTTTCTCTTACAATGGAAAAGGTAGGGGGCAGCTAGGTGGTACAGTGGATACAGCACCGGCCCTGGATTCAGGAGGACCTGAGTTCAAATCTGGCCTCAGATACAACACTTACTAGCTGTGTGACCCTGGGCAAGTCACTTAACCCCATTGCTTAGCCCCGCCCCCAAAAAGGAAAAGGTAGTATGCCAGAAGCTAAGAGAAGAAAGAACATTTAGAAGAATGTCAAAAGTGGTCAACAATAAATGCCTAATGTTACCAAAAGGTCACGGAGGATAGGGACTGAGAAAATGTCATTGGAATTTTGATGATGAGCAATAGAGACAGAAGCCAGATTTCCAAGAACTGAGAGAAGAATAGAAGAAAGTTAAAAAACTGAGATGTGGAATAGAGTGTACTTTCCCAAGAGATTAGACAATAAATGGGAGAAGAGAGATGGAACAGACTTAAAGGGCCATAGGAAGGCGTTTTTATGTCTGAATATGTTTGTAGGTTGACTAAGAGCCAATAGACAGGAAGGTATCAAAATTGCCTGAAAGAGAGAGAATGATTGATGGAACAAGATTTTCAAGGAGACATGAGGAAATTCAATCAAAGGTATAAGCAGGAAGTTACACCTTAGAAGGTGTAGGGACATATTTTCCTTTGGAACAAGAATAAAGGAAAAAGAGGCAACAGTGCTGAAAAATTTTGAGGAGTGAAGGAGGGGTATTGAGGAGGGGATCTAAGGGGACTCCCATCAGACGGCCACAGTCTTTTCAATAAACTAGGATTTTAAATCATCTACTCTAAAGTTTAAGGATAAAGGCACAAGTAGGTGAGAAGAAAGGAGGGGAGAGGAGAGAATAAAAACTTTTGGAGCATTTCATGTGATAAATTAAGGAGAGAATCAAGAGGTGTAGAATAGAAGGATTTCCAAGGAGTAGTGAGGGCCCAGCTGAAGTAACATAACATAAATGTATAGTGGAAGCAATCACCACAGTTTCATGACCATCTCTAGTGATACTTGGTAACCCAGGAGTAGAGAAAGCAGATGACGGGTTTGAGAACTGTTATTCAGTTATTCTAGTCGTATCTGACTCTTATTTGAGGTTTTCATGGCAAAGATACTGGAATGGTTTGCCATTTCCTTCTGCAGTTCATTTTAGAGATGAGGCAAATAGGGTTAAGTGACTTGTCCAGGGTCACACAGCTAATAAGTGTCCAAGGCCAGATTTGAAGTCAGATGTTTCTGAGTTCTTTCAGGTCCAGTGCTCTATCCATTGTGCCACCTTGCAGCAGTAAGCATGCTGTCCTGTATAAGAAGTAGCAAACATCTCAATTTCCCCTTTCCCTGATCAGGGCAGAATTCAATTATCACTGGCTTTCGATCCAGAATCAAGCACCAAAATTTGGGGACTTAATACATATCTTTGAGTGGAGGGAGAAAAATGTATCTTCTTCTCATGAAGTCCACCCCCAGAATTCTCACCAATCACTCTAATAGTAGCAAGCACCATGACCTTGTCCCACAAAATGCTAATACTATTCTTTCTTAGCTTGTCTGGACAGTGCTACTCCCCATCAGCTTAGCTGAACCCAGTCTCACTCAGTCTATTGCTTATACCTCCTGGCTTTTCTAGTAATAGAAAATAGAAGTTTTTGTTTTTGTTTTTGTTTTTTAACCAGGCACAGATAGATCAATGCATGGAAAGAGATTTTCCCTCCCTGTGTCCTCCATTTCTCCACCCTTCACCCGTGCCCAGACAAATACATGCATCTTTTCTCA